GTAATTTTTATTTACTCAGATCACCTGCGAAGCTTTTAATACTACAAACTATATAAGCACATAGGAAAAAAAAGGTAGAGTAGCAATTTGGACAAAGAAGCTACATGAACCTCACTGGTATCTTAAGAAATACATATACAAGTAAATTAAGATGGTAATAAAAATACAGAGGTTAAGTAACTTGGAGAGGAGAAATACATATCTTTCATTGGTAGAAATCTTCAATATCAAGAGTTCAATCATACTATAATTCCAGATGATAAAATATATTATCAGATTTGAGTTATAGGTAATTGATTTTGAGTGGTATAATTATTGTGGGTTGTAAAGTTTCTTGGAGCCTAAAATTTCTTGCAGTGAATAAACCCTTTCAAACGACACCGGAAAAAGTTGACAAAGATTTGTTAGACGTTTGCAGGAGATAGAACATGTAATTGTAATCAAATGAAAGAAACAAACTACCTTTGAGGTCCTAGAGATAAAATGAAGAAGGTGAACTTTGTTTTTCTTGCTTAAATCTAAAACAATATTTTCGAATAAATTAATAAGAGATGATACAAATATGCAGAATGTTTGTATTTTCCTTAAGTCATCAACTGCAGAACAAGGAAAAGATTGAACAGAAGAAGAAGAAGCTCTTTCTTGATATCGCTGGAAAAATATCAAGATATGATTACCACATGAATTAACTAATAAGATTCTACTGCAAAATATGATTGATATCTGGACAGTTGCTAATTACCAACTTAAGTTCCTTGTCAAGAAAAATAGAGATTATGTCCTCGCTGAATCCTTTTAAAAATACATTTAACAGAGAGTGGCTAACGTTTACCATATATTGATCAACAACCAAGTGACGATCTGTTGACTTGAGAAGATGAACAACCTTTGTTGAAGCATTCAAATTTGAAGAGCAGAAACAAAACACACCAAAATAATCTCATGGCTACAAGAATGAAATCTGATGCTGCATGCAAGAACAAAACAATAATTTGTTCAAATTTAAGCTCAAAAAGATTGTTACCTAAGTTGTATTCTACACCTCTTCTTCTCTCTAATTTCTGACCACTATGCGATAAAACCTCTAATTTGAATTATCTGGACAGCAACATTGAAGCGAAATTTGAGGAGAAATGGAGATTAATGGAGAGGAATTGTGGAGGATAAAATGGAGATTAATGGAGAGGAATTGTGGAGGAGAAGCAAACAAGGAAAGAAGTAAAGTGGATAGACAATAGCGAAATTACCCATCTGCCCTTGTTCATCCTGCACAAATGTCCAAATTTAATGATAGAATTACATAATTCTCCTTGTTAAATAAAAGAAAATATATATTATATATTTAAAGTACAATTTAAATAGCATTGGGTACAACTTTTTAAAGCTGTGTTGGTCCTTTCAACTCCCTTAAAGCTGTGTTAGTCATATTTAAAGTACAATTTAAATAGCTTTGGGTACAACTTTTAAAAGCTGTGTTGGTCCTTTCAACTCCCTCTTCTAAAAAGGG